TACTTCACTGTTTGCCACATTGTATTGCACATAACTTGTGTTTTGCTTACCTATCAAATACTAAATGTTTTAAGTTAAATTTATTTACAACTTAAATTTACAGGTTAACTTATGGTAATGTTTGTCATATAAGAATTATATTCAGTCTGAATATGGCCCACTAATGTCAAATATAATAGAAACCAGGGTATATGTAATAGGAAGGAGCTCTAAACCATGTCAGGGACTGCACCACCTGAATGGTGTTTTAGCATTCCCATTTCTACATGTGTGTCAGTCAAGAAATATTTGGAGAAGTCTTTCAAAGTGATGTTTAGCTAAGATAGTCCTGGAAGTATGAGAGAAGCAAGGTTTTCTGGTGTCATGTGAAGAAGGGTATTTTGAGCCCCAAAGCATGTGTAACAGCTCTCCAACTGTACAGCTGACTTGACAAAAGATATCACCAAAAAATCCTTCTCTCTTCTCTACCTGAGTCTTGTCAGTCTGAGATTTAGCTCTTTTCTTATATAAAAGAACAGAACAGGAGACACCGCTCCTTGATATTTTTATAATTTATGGCAATCCTTGACCTGTCTTGCTTGCATTATTGCATACCACCATTAGCCCTTATTAACAAAACAAATTGAAACACAATGAAAGTTTAACACTCAAATGAATCCTAGAATAAAGAATGAAATAATTTCAACAATACCATGGAACCAAGCAATTTAAGGCCTGAGGGCTTACATCCCTGAATATGAACAAATGGGAGCAAGACCCTTGCAGAAATGGGACTCTCCTTACTAATGACTAATGAAATATGTCATGCCATTGTCCTTTGGTGAAAGCATTGTTATTCTAGGAGTTCCTTGTTTGAAAGACCAAGGAGAACAATGTTAAATTCATGAAAATAAATGTAAAAGTGGAAATATGAAGAAGTAGAAAAAGTCAAGAACCATCTTAAAGTTTTATGGATTTTGAAGGTGAAAATTGATAATGTTTAATATTTAAAATGTTTATAATATTAATACAGTTGATATTATTCTGCTCCAACAAGTTTTTCCATGCATATAAAACAGTGAGCTTGGCATCAATTTGGCTTAATAGAGCATCATAAACAAACTAGTCACTGGTATCTGCAAAACAGATAACATGCATTGTACTAAAATATATATGTCTGTAATTTGGAGGCTTTATATAAATCTGACACCAGTTTTGCTTACCTATTTCTCCAGTAGCTTCACTTTAATTGCACTAAGATTAATTTTACTTTTCACCCTATTCACAGAGGGCGATGAGATGGGAGTGATGGATAATCTGCTCGAAGCCCTGCAGTCAGGAGCAGCTTTCAGGGATCGTAGGAAACGAACACCAAGATGTCAGGGTAAGACATTTTCTAGAAAACTTTTGGTTATGAATTACAAAGAAGAAATAATCTTGTGCTCAAAGCAAGGGAAAAAAGTATCTTGCAAAGGCTTTTAACAGCTTTCATTGAAAGTTGGTCTTTCAGTTCTAGTGTGAAATCTCAGCAGGTTATAGCTATGTGATCACAAGTTTTAACTTGGTAACTGTGTCTTCAGATAACTGTAGACTCTGGAAAAAAAAAGAACAAGGCCACCTACTGTGTTTAATACAACAGTTGAATTTTTTTCTTTTTATGCACACTTGTTTTTTTTTTTTGTTTTATCTCTTATAATTATCAGTATAAATAATTTATTTGTTGTGATTTGCCCTGAAAATGTCACAGTACCTTCTCAGGGGACTGATACACGTGGCTGATTGTAATTCTCTGGTGTGACTTCATTTTGCACAAGTTGGGTTGAAAGCTATACTGTTTATGGAGAATAAATTACCCAAAGCTTCATGCTACTAAGTAACCAAGTGCACGCAATTTGTCAGATACATAAAATATTTAAATTGTTTTTTCTGCACAACTACCACTTATTAAATCTCATGGCAGCATATATTAGATTTCATTGTTTTTCATTTTTAACGTATCTCATGGCAAAAATGGTATTTTAATAAATCAAATTTGAAAACTACATATAAAATCAAACCATTGAGTCAGATCAATGCTTTGGATTTAAAAGAATGGTGCTGCTGGTGGAAGTTAACCTTGTAGCAAAGTTTATTAATCCATAAAAGCGCATGGTTTGCCAGCACTGTACCTAGACTCCTGGTGGCCCCAGGCAGACTTTTAGTATTGGGCCCCCCTTTGCCAGAGATAACGATAATAATTTTTAAATGACCATTTTGGGTCCCCGGGCAGCTGCCTAGTTCGCCCATGCCTGGGTTTGGTTCTCAATACTACAAGTTACATGTATGCAGGTGGCTTTTTATGTAACACAAGTTGATGTAATTTGTAATATAAAACTTTGGTCTGCAGGATGCTTAAATTCATTTTAGCTCAAAGGACTCTAGGCTCCTTGCCTATTTTTCTTCATATCTTATGCCTATGTGCTCCATGTAGATTCATAGATGTTAAGGTCGGAAGAGAACTCAGTAGATCATTGAGTCCAACCCCCTGGCCCGGGCAGGAAAGAGTCCT